TCCCTACCCAAGAGTTTAATTTTTCAGTATGGCCAGAGTTAGCAGGTTTCTGTAAAAAACAGTGAATCCCTCTTCTAGGCGTTGAAAAAGAGATGGTATCTTTTACCTCTGGTTCCTTGTCCAAAACCATAAACTCCAAGTTGCCATGGTCTGTGCTGTTCTATCCTTCCCTAATCTGAAAGAAGCGAGTTTGAGCATTCCTCCCTCTACCCTTCCCACCAGCTTCCTGATTACTGTGAATGGGTTAAGTCTGTCTCCATGCTTCTGTTTTTTTTTATTATTTCTCCTCATAAATCACTAGTAAATGTCATCGCTGCTGCTTACAGATCTCTTGAGTTGCAAAGTGAATTTGATCCAATTCTTCTAATGATTTCGCCACTGACAAAATTATTCACATTTCAACTCTCTTAAAAGCTTAAAAAGCTCTTTGTTGCAGCAGAGATTTTGGAACCAGACTCAGAAATTAGAGTAATTTCATAGTTGCTTCATTTTTGAGGTTATAAGGCAAATGCTTAGAATGCTAAAAAATTTTAATTAAAAAAAAATTAAAATGACGTGTTGAAATTGAAGCCCCTACCTAGGACTGCTTCCTCTGTAATGCTATGGGTTAGTGGATATTAAAGCCCTGAAAGCAGTGTGGCCCTCGTTACCTTTCTGCATGAAAATATTCCTTAAAAAAATGTTTTTTAATGGGTACACTGATACATCGGTTCAATATCAGATTGATACAGATATACAGAAAACTGGCTGTATCGGATATTGGCCTGATGGGGCCGATAACTTGGCTGATAAGTGCCTGTGCTGCATGCAGCTGCAGCGCAGCACTCAGGAAGCGAGGACCACAGCTGGCAGTGTGGAGATCTGCCTCCAGCTGGTAAGTCTGGTGTGGTGGAAGGGGTGGGGGGAAGGGGCTGGGGGGCACATCAACTCCCCCCACTGTGAGGGAGAGGGCAGGGGCAGGGGCAGGAGCAGGCGCTGCCCAGCTGGGGCAGAGCGGGGCACAGGACAGACCTGCAGCTCATCGAGTTGGCTCCCGCCCCACTGCCTTGCACCCTGGGAGAGGGGCATGTGCCCCTGGATCTTTGTGGGGCAGGACAGGGCTTGGAGTGGGCGCCGGTGGCATTGGGAGAATGCTGCATCCACCCTAAATTTCACCGCTGCTCCGTTCCCAGAGCTGTGGCTGCCAGCCACCCAGTGTAGCCCTGGCTCAATTCTCTACCTCCCCCCCATGCATTGGAAAGAGTTGGGGCTGCTCCAGGTGGCTGGCAGCAGCAGCGCTGGGAGTGGAGCGGCGGTGAAATCTGGGGTGGATGCAGCATCCTCTCAGTGCTGCCGACACCCACTCCGAGCCCAGACCCCACCAAGAAGAGCCCGCACAGCTCTGGCTGCAGCCTGTCCTGCTCCACACAGATCTGGGGAGCATACGCTCCTGCTCCAAGGTGCAAGCAGCAGTGGGAGCTCCCCCCCTCCACGAGCCACACCTCCGGCCCCTTTCCTTACCGCAGGGGTGTTGATCTGCACCCCACCATGCCTCTTCCCTCTGCCCTCCCCTTCCACCACACTGGACTTGCCAGCTGGAGGCAGCTGCATTGGAAATCAGATCAGTATTGGCCAATATGCCTCCTTAAATAATTGGCCCCAAAAATCTCTTACCAGTGCACCCCTACTACTATTTTTTTTTTTTGTAAGAAAGGAAGGCTAAGTATCACTACCCATTGTTCTCAAATGAGCAACAACAAAAATGGTACATCTCTTGATGTACTGAAGACCTACTGGAAAGGGCACAAAATTGAAAGTCCAGCTTTCTGTGCCTCCATTCTGTCTCTTACTAGACTTGAAATCCTGGCCTTAACTTCTCTATTAGCATTTTACAGATGGGAAGCAGAGGCACAAATATATCAATCTATTTAAAC